TACGAATGAGAGACAGAGAAAGCAAGAAAATTTAAAATATGAACAGATGGTGTATAGCCTCTTCCTGGAGTATAAACCTGGTGAAAGACATTTGGAGCTGCATTCCTTTTTGGAATAGTTTTACTGTTAAAGTGATCAAGAGGTTTCTAAGAGGGCTACAAGGCAATTCTGGTTTTTCATCAGATTCATTTTCTAAAATAGAAAAAAGGTATCCCTCTCTGTATCTTATTAATTTTCCAATATATACCAATGAAAGAAGAACTAAAGAAATGTGACAAGTGTTCCTGTCATATACCCAACTTTTTTTATAACAAGGGCCAGGTGTGATATTTACATTAATTTACATGCATTCTCTTGTATGATGAATACAAGACAAGAGAATATGAATATGCCTGTGGAATTATCAGCAACATTGCTGCCAAACTGTTGAATAATGCATCTGACAATTTCACCACTTACAGTATTTTGCCGCATATTAGTTGTTTTTTTATAATCTGAAACGTGCTACAATTTCCAAAGTAACATATATAACGCAACTAACATCAAGCACAGCATCTCAGACCAAAACAAACACATGCTTTATCCACAAAAATACCTAATGTGCACTGTTTCTGCAACGGACATGATTGAAATGTCACGTTGAGGAAAACGGTGCCGTTACAAATACAAATTTTGTACGGTGGACAAAAAATGGCCAAAAACTACCCATAAAATTGGATCAGAAATGGTCCATTTATGAAAATGGCCACATATCTAGATCCACACTTTGGTGACGTGATGCTACATTTAGAAGTCCATTGTGAAGGCCAGTGAATCAGTGCAAGCTCGGCACAAGAACATCAAGTACACTATTTGGGACTATTCCATAGACTTACGTACAGGCTCTTTTGACTTGAGCCCATAATCAACCACCTAGCAACAAAAGCAATGTTCAATCACTACTATTTTATGCCCCAAAAATCTACCTGAAAAAAGACAAACAAATGAAAACTTGCAACATAAATCTGTCTAAGTCAGAAAACCCTCATGTTTGTTCATCTATCCAAATGAATCATTACCAGTTCCTTCCCTGCAAGGCACCTGCAGAGTTTTCTTCACCCAACAGGTCGATATTAATAACAAACATTGCGTTCTTCAGTTCATTTGCTTGCATCGATACTTCATGTCAACAATGCGCTCTCACCGGGTTAAATCAAGCATGGAAAAAGCAAAAACAGCTTTACTCATCATTAAGATAAGCACTCATATTCATTTGGATTTAATTCAGATTTTGCTGCAAGAAGCTTTTATGAGAATTCATGCAATAGAAGGAGTTTTACTTTTAGTTAATGCAGTTTTCACAGCTTTCCATTCAAAAGTTTGGCCAAGCTTTTGAAAAAGACAGATGCTCTAAAGAGATTAAAACAGATTGACAGAGAAAGCAAAGCACAGAACAGATACATAACTGTGAAGCAAAAGAAAATACCTCCTGCTATCTTTTCAATGTCATTAAAAAATGTATTACTGCTCAAAAGTTTAGGGTCAGTACTTTTTTTTTTTAGAAATTAATACTTTCATTCAGCAATGGTCACAGTGCATTCAACTGATCAAAAATTGACAGTAATGACATTTATGATGTTACAAAATATTTCTATTTCAAATAAATGTGGTTCTAAAATTTCTATTCACCAAAATAAAAAAAATGAAATATATATATATATATATATTTTAAAAATCCAGACAAAATGTATCATGATTTCCACAAAATATTAAGCAGCGCAACTGTTTCCAACACTTCATTAATAAGAAATGCATCTTAAGCAGCAAATCATGAATTAATTCTGAAGGATCATGTGACACTGAAGACTGTAGTAATGGCTTCTGAAAATTCAGCTTTGCATCACAGGAGTAAATTACAAATTAAAATATATTATAGTAGAAACTTTATTGTAATAATAGCATTTGTTCTGGATTTTTCATCACATAAATGCAGTCTTGGTGAGCATAAGAGACATCTTTCAAAAACATTAAACTCTTACCAACCCCATTTTCAGATGCTGAGTAGACCTGTATGAAGCAAATGAATCATCACAGATTTGGTGTTAACAGTTCTCTGTACACCCACTTGTGAAGAATACCAGGCCTGCATAGAACGATTCTATGAATCCAACCTCCAAAACATCACACATGCACATTCAAACATATCTAAAAGAGGGGGGAGAATAGATACACGTCTTGACATTCCTCCTGTGGCTGAACAAGAGACCACAATCGTACTGTCAGTCTCCAAGTGTTCTTGGCCCAGTTTTGTCAATGCTCAAAAAATGTCACAAGATGAGCTGTCACTTGCACTGAAATTAATAAATATTAGGGTGGAACAGGAAAGAATTTTGGATACAAACTAAACGTAAAATCATTATTATAACACCTCTCCCTAGTGGCCAAACACATAACAAAATTTAGAACAAAAGGGGGAAAAAATCAATTGAGCTTAAATTACATCTTGTAGAAACAAATTCAATTTCTACACATCAAGCCCATCAATTTCCACATTAAAGTATATATATATATATATATATATATATATGAGCCTCCATAATTATAACATCACTAAAAGCTGAAGTGTTCAACGATGTCTAAAAACTTTCTGGCATCCTAGTTCAACATGCAAAGATAAATATAAGACAATCAGGGTTGATTTTTCCTGAAAAGGGTGAACATACTGGTGTATCATCCATCAACCTGCGGCTCAACCAACCAGTGGGAGATTAAGGAAGCATTACCTGGTTGTCCGAAGAATGGCAGGTGTGTTTGGGAAACCATTCTCCTTGGCAGTGCAGAAATTACACCCTTCACCTTTTGAAGAGATACAGAAATAAAGATATAAAAAGAGAACACAACTCCAAGTGAGGTGTTTTAAAAAATCTTTAATTTATTTACAAATGGCATAGTTTTGCAGAGTGGATTGAAAGACCCCCAGAAAGATTGTCATAAAACATTTGTCCATCAGTGAATTACAGAAAATTGCATTGCACGTTAGTCAAAAACAACTAGCATGCACATTATTCTCTGAGTCACCAAAATAGATTTGATTATAAAATATAGCTCTCAATATAAACATCAGGCTTGTTTGTAATCACCAACCAGTCTATTCAATTCATCTGTGTAGAGATTCTCAAAGACATTTCTTCAGGCGATGTTTCAATGAGCTAAAACAGCGCTCAGCTACTTTTCACATTTGCAAAAATAGATTTAAACGTCTATTGCTCCTCCTTACTGTAAATATGACATTCAAAGCATCTAAAACGCAAGTCCGCCCCTGGTGCAAATGGTTTGCTTGCAACCAATCAGATTAAAGAAAGAACACTGTGAACTCAAACAGGGGATGAAAGATGCTTCTAATGGAGAAAAGAAAAAAGAAAAACTCTCTTGTAAAATAAATGAACGCAGTAACTTTACAAATTAAGGAGGTGAGGATAAGACTATTGAACTTCAGTGAGTGACAACTAACAAGCTCCTGACACATATTCACTAAAAAACAGTCTCCTACTAAAAGTTACACCAGTCATCAATCACAGCGCTGACAGAAAGCCTGTCCTCGCCAGAGCACCTGTGCATTCAGCTTTCCCTAAACAATCACAATTCAACATGGCCTTCAATCTGAACATCCCATAGTGCAGTTTAACCACTAAGCTGACAGAGCTGCATCTCTCCTCAATTATCAAACAAATCTAGAACAATGAGTGAATTTCCACAGATGCGAAAACGTTTACCTTCTTCAACTTTGCGTATCAGGGCATACTTTAATCATAGTTCAATTAAATTATCTAATCACAGGATTAAATATGCAAAGCAACACAGATCAATTTTCTTAATAAAACACACAGGAAGGTGACTGCTTTTAATTCATGAAAACAACAACTAAATGAGAAACACACAACAATGGTCCTCTGGCGCCCTCTGTTGACCACAACCACAAAGCAGCTAAACTAAAGCAGCATTCTGTGTAGCCAGTCACAGTTAAACAGTGCTTACATCCAGCATCCTCCTTGTGTAAACATGTCAATACAGTCATATACACTGTGGCACACTTAAAACACACTTCTTTCAGCGCTAGAGACGAGTAAACCAGATCACTACAGTAACTTGGACTGCAGTGGTAATTCCTACCATAACTTTGGCTATTCAAGTGATCACTGTTTTCTTTGTAGTGAGCCAAATAAGAAAGTATTTTGGGAATGAATAAAAGAAAAACCCAAAACAAACTTCTTACGTGGCACTAGATGGAAATCCCTGATTTGATCCTGTTTGTGAGACTATTGCTTAAAAGGTTTACTTTGCATGGTCTCTCACAACACAGAAAAGCCTGCAAATGAGCCTATGATACACACTTAATGAATGTGACGGCATGCCATGCCAATATATTAATCAACAAATTACAAGCAATAAAGTAGATGACAGTTCTATATACTATCTCTATATACTCGGCTTTCACAATTAATGACAACTGCAACCAAATACAACTACATTAACATTAAATGTTCTGCACCAAGCAGCCTCTATTCTGGGTAGCAAACCACATTTGCGAACTTAAAGGTATACTCTAAAAAATGCTGGGTTAAATACAACCCAGTGCTGGGTAAAATAGGGACAAACCCAGCAATTGGTTTGTTTTGACCCAGCGGTTGGGTTAAATGTTTACCCCAACCTTCTGGGTAGTAACCCAACTAAGTGTATAGTTCACACAAAAATGAAAAATAGTTTACTCGCACTCAATTTTTTCTTTGTCTTTCTTTCTTTCTTAGGAACACAAAAAGACGTTATGTAGCTCAGTTTAAATATGTGCATATACAAATCACACAAATGAAGGAAATATAGCACATACGTCATATGGACTATTTTAAGTTTTAGAATTTAGCCTAAACCATTCACCATTCACTTATTTTATGGAAAAGAGCAGCATGAACATTCTGCTTAATATCTCATTTTGTTGTTTTCGGAAGAAATGACATGAGGCTGAGTACAGATGTCAGAGATTTCATTTTTGGGTGAACTATTCCTATAAGCAGTTATGTAAGTTGTATTTGGTGTGTTTCTATATCAATCATCATTCGAACATCCATATGTCACCAGTGTAGCAGCATGCAGATAAGTGGTATGAGTTTTCACTAACACTCCATGGTGAAGGATCCCGCATAAAACTTGACTATGCCATTTTTATATATAAAAGGTTTATAAAAAGCTTAACTTTCAGATTTACCATGTAAAACATATCAGTCGAAGTGTAATTCTCTGATATAGGTAGTTTCAATGTTGTTGCAGGTGGTTTATGCCTACAAGGTAGTACTCATAAAAAGAAAGTGTTGGAATTTCCACCATTACTAAAGCAGAAGCGTAAAATTTACCTCAACATCCTCCACTGCTACCATACTAAATTAACAAGAAAAGAAATTCCTATGCTGATGTAAAAAAGAATGTCTTCAGCTCTGCTTTAACTTTGAATAAAATACCATTGGTCAAAATCTATCACTGAATATCCACTATACAATATAGACTGTAACTGGTATTTCCTCTTTTTTTTAATTAACAAATGGCCAAGGCAGGATTGATCAATGCTTTAAAAAGACCTCATATTTGAAATGTTGTGCATGAGGCCACAATTCTATCTAGACCTACACAAAAAGCTGTGTGCTCAGGGCAATTCAACTTCTCTTACATACTCACTACATTTTGTTACTCTAATAGGTCTAGGTGTTTTGCTCCAAAAGCGTGCCTAAAGACTTTTATTTAAATTTAAGCCTATTGACTTGTGTAGAGTAGAGTAAAACAAAATATGTAACATCTGTAAAAACTAATGTTGTCTTCAAGTAAGGGCACCAGATCGAACAAGGTACGTTGTATGTGAGCAAGATTATAATATCACAACAAAAAAATAGGGAATCTAGCATTTTAGCAATGCACATTTCAGCATACAAATCTTTCTAGGAAACCCGTAATAGTGCCTGATCTTTATCCCTAGCACCAATTTCAAGATAAACACACTGAAATATTGTCAGATAAACATGCAAACGCATATAATTAACTTGTAGGCCTGGCTCTTAGCTGAAGTCACTTGATAACACAACATCGGCTGAATCGTGAAAAGAATGGCCAGTGCAACCTGAGGATGTTTTGCATCCACCGAGTCCTTCCACGCACCACCTCACAGAGGCTGTGAATTTTCATACCTGTTCTCCAGCAGTCCCTCGCTCTCCTGGTGAAACCAGCAGCAAAACAGCCACTCCTTTTCAAATGGCTGGAGAGAAGGAATGGATGAAATGCGGGATGGAGGTATGGATGGATCAGGAGCAGATGGATCCAGAAGTGGAGGTCAGGGTGCAGACGGGTGTGGGCAAACCGTAGAAGAGTGGATCAGTCATGGGGAAGAAGAGGAGGAAGAAGAGAACGACCCCCAGCACGTAGAAGGAGAGAATCGTGAGCCGTTGCGGGTGGTCCAGGGCTGTGCTGAGAGCTGGAAAACCCATGTAGTTGCAGAAGGAATGGCACAGCACAGGACCCACCAAATGACCTAGAGACACATACATAGAAAAAGTTGCAGTCATTTCTTTGTATGCATTACAATTTCTTTGTTACAAATCTAGTTGAATCAAAATTACAATAAACCAATTGAATAGTCATATTATTTTCATGACAATTGAGTTGGTTAATTCCTTCCCTAATTATCATTACTGTCTGCAATAAAGTAAAAAACTAAAAGTATCCCACAGACTTCGAAATTAAAATCTTCAAACTTCAAGGTTTTCAAACTACTTTAAACTTTCTCGCCAAGCTTTCTTAAGCAAACTTTATCTAGATTACATTATGAAGCAATCATGTCTGGACACATGATATTTTTCATAAAAGCAGCATACAGGCAATACCACTAAATAGGCTACTTCCTACCCAGCATAATTCTCTCTCAAATTATCATCACTGTCAGCAATACAAACTAAAAGTTTGCAATTCTCATTAATTTGTAGTAAGAATCATCATCATGTCTGGACACAATGATATTTTAATAAAAGTAGCAGAAAGGCAATACCACAAATACTGTACATTGCAAATACAATACAATTTTTTTTTTTTTTTGCATTATGGAAATAAGAATTGGCAAGTCAATGTGTTTAATTGTCATGAATATAGTCACAATACAAAAATTATCTTAGTAGTTGCTATTAATATTTTAAATGCAAAAATGTTAGAATTTTTTAGTCCTTTTGTGTAGTATATAGATCAGTAGTATTAAAGAAAAAACAGATGCACCTGTCCTGATGAATATAAAGGCTGTATAAGCTCCAAATACTGCAGTGTAGGAGAACTGGAACACTGAAGAGTACACAAACAAACACAGACATGAGTAATTATGTCTCGCAGGCGGCACTTCTAGCACTAAAGATGACAGTAAACTAATGACTCTGTTACCTGCAGAGAGGAAAATCCCTGAGACAGTGCCCTGTCTGAACCGCAGGAGCTCAATTACATGGTGAAAATGAGCTGCAGTCACACGCAAACAAAGAGAGAGAGAGAGACAGAGAGACAGAAAGAAAAAAAGGTTACCATTACAATAATGGTCTACAAAGCAAAGCAAATGAAATTATAAACAATCTCGTTTTTCTTGAGCAAGTCAGTGGTCGGTCATACAAACACATTAATACAGGGGTGATTCTTTCTGTCAAACAAGACTTGAGTGGGTTGATTTTCCACCATTTTCAGAGCATTGTATGGAATGCTCAGGTTACCAGATATCTAGGTAGTGTCATTAGTTGCCATTAAAATGAAAATTCACCTATTTATCTATCTTGCAAATGCACGTTATAGATCTTATTGTGAATGATTGTATGTTTTTGACCACGTAATGTTTAATCAAAATGTCATAACTCAATCTTTCAGTGAAAATGATGTATATGGAAGAAAATATCTATCACTACTACTATTTTATCGCAAGTTTATATTAGATTGGAAGACTGCAGAAAGGCTGCATTACCTACAAAAAGTAGTCTATGTCTACATACAATAGCTATTTGGCAAAAATATTCTCCACATCTGTGCAATCTTGGTGACATCAGCCAATAAATCCAAGTTGTTTCATAGGCAAAACAAGTTATAACATTTGCTTAAACACCAACAAGACTGTTGTTTCTTCTTTGGAATAACATGCACTGATGACAAGCTAGCATTAGGCCACGTGTCCACTAGGGATGCAACGATTATAGATTTTGTTGGTACGATTATTGTCTGAGGAATAATCACGGTTTTACGATTATGGCATCTTTCAGTGAAAATGATGTATATGGAAGAAAATATCTATCACTACTACTATTTTATCGCAAGTTTATATTAGATTGGAAGACTGCAGAAAGGCTGCATTACCTACAAAAAGTAGTCTATGTCTACATACAATAGCTATTTGGCAAAAATATTCTCCACATCTGTGCAATCTTGGTGACATCAGCCAATAAATCCAAGTTGTTTCATAGGCAAAACAAGTTATAACATTTGCTTAAACACCAACAAGACTGTTGTTTCTTCTTTGGAATAACATGCACTGATGACAAGCTAGCATTAGGCCACGTGTCCACTAGGGATGCAACGATTATAGATTTTGTTGGTACGATTATTGTCTGAGGAATAATCACGGTTTCACGGTTATGACGATTATTATGCATTTATTCATTTCACAAAATTATTAATGTATACAATCACATGGACACTCTTTAGATAATAAAGTGTTATTTATTGCTGCCTTTAGAAACAGAAATAACACAGTAACCAGTAATACAGCACAAAATAATAATAATAAAGACAAACAAATGTCTCTTCAATTTGAATTTAAAAAGGTGACCTCTGCTATGTAAACATCCATGTCAGTATTTCCCTTTTGAAAATAACTAATGAAAATAGATCACAAAAGTATTTAGTGTTTTCAGTTTGTAAATTCTTTACTTTTCTTTTGGACCTGAGGCAGAAAACTGGAAACATGGTGAAAAAAAAAATCTTGTTGGTTTTTGACTTATGTATAATACTATAAAAGGGATAATAGATAACAATGTTAATAAGTATTATTAATATAGGACTATTAACTTTATCCCACAGGGGAAACTATTAATAATGAGGGGATTAAACTGAACTATCATTGTAATCAACTGTCATCCATACTATATACATATAATAATTTATATGATTTTACATGTGGCCTGTGACTTGTGAGATCGGAGATCGCGCTGCGCATACATACAAACATTCAGGAGGACACAAACTTGTTGTGAACACTGCCCCGTGACTTTTATCAATAAAATAGCTTAGATACTGAATTGCTACATATTCATCAGCAAGGAGAGGGTAAAATCACTGTTTAAGTAGCTAAACTCACATGTTTGTAGAGCAGTGCTTCTCAAAGGACCCGGACCCGGAGTGAATTCAGTCCGGACCCGCCTCCATTTCGTATTTCAAGAACACTATTATTTCCTACTTTGATAAACGCATGTTAAACTTGTAAATCATATGGCTACTACTACTACTACTACTACTATTACCATAAAGGGAAAAAAAATCGGCCAAACATATCGGGCAAAAAAATCAGCATCATATATCGGCCATCGGCTGCCCTGATTTCTAAATATCGGCATCGGCCAGAGAAAAACCCATAACGGTCGACCTCTATTGCTGACACTTAAAGGGATAGTTCACCCAAAAATGAAAATGTGATGTTTATCTGCTTACCCCCAGGGCATCC